TCTAATCACCACCCCACCAAAGAGCTTTTTGACCATAACACAGTTAATGCCTTAAATCATCTGGCCGAGAGAGGATATAAAGTTTCAAAGGAAAAAGCCCAAATATCCCTCCAGCAGGTAGAACATTTAGGGTTTAATAATAGAAAAGGGGCACAGAGCACTACCTAAGGAGAGGAAAGAACATATTTGCAAGATGGCACTCCTAGTACGAGAAAACAGCTCCAGGGTTTCCTGGGAATGCCTGAGGTCTGCCATATATGGATCCCCAATTCTGCCTTAATTGCTAAGCTCTAGTATGAACAATTAAAAAGGAAGGAACTTGACCGTTTTGAGCAGACCCCCAATTGTGACTGGGCATTCCTAGAACTCAAAAACCATCTCATGAGAATCCCCGTGTTACCTGAGTCTACCCTTCCATCTACATGTACATGAGAGAGGAGAAACTGTCCTGGGCTTGCTTAAACAAAAACTTGGACCTCTGACTCAGGTTGTAGCCTGTTTTTCTAAACAATTGGACCAAACTGCTAAAGGATAGCCCCCATGTTTACAGGCTGTAGCTGCTACTTCTCAAAGAGGCTAACAAATTAACTTTTGGACAGCCCCTGACCATCTGGACCCCACACCACCCCATAAAGGTAAGGGGGGCAGACTGGTTATCCCCTGGTCAAACCCTCCAAGTCCAAGCCATGCTTCTAGACAACCTGTCTGTGACTCTGAGGCACTGTAATGTCCTTAACCCTGCCTCCTTGCTACATCAGACAGGTCCAAAATTAACTCATGATTGTGAGGAAGTTATGGAACAGGTTTATTCCAGCAGGGCTGACTTAAAGAGCTTCCCTAGAGAGAAGGCAGGATTGGAATGGTCCACTGGTGGGAGTTGCTTTATGAAAGATGGAAAACAAAAGGCAGGCTACACAGTGGTTTCTGTCACTGAAGTGGTGGAAGCTAAAGCCTTGCCCCCTGGCTGCTCTGCTCAGAGGGCTGAGTTAATTACCCTGATCAGAGCACTAGAACTGGGGAAAGGGAAAGTTGTCAATATCTACACTGACTCTAAATATGCCTGTTCAATCCTACATGCCCATGGGGCCATCTGGAAGGAGAGGGGAATGCTGACCTCAGGGAATAAACAGATTATAAACTGGGGGGGAGGTGAATTATGAGGCTGCTGGAGGCTATACGCCTGCCAAAGAGTATAGCCTGTATTCACTGTAGAGGCCATCAAAAGGGAGAAGCAGAAATAATAAGAGGAAATAACAGAGCAGATATGGCAGCTAAACAAGCAGCAGAGGGTGGGGACAGACTTCAAACGTCACTCCTACTGGTACCCCCAGATCCTAACTCTTACACTCCCATATACACCCCAGAAGAAAGAGAAAAGCCTTTGAGATGGGGCTATTTTAAAAGCCCAGAATATCAGGAATGGAGGGTTAACAATCATGGGCAGCTGTTCTTCCCATCAGCTACTGCACTCCAAGCCATCCGGGAAGCTCACCAGAGCACACGTTATGGGCAGGAGGCCCTGTGTCAATGGCTCACCAAATCCATGACGAATCCCAATTTCTGAAGTCTCCTTAAACAGGTGGTTGAAGCTTGCCCCGTCTCCAGAATAACCCCAACACTTACCGCCCACCAAGGTCAAGGGAGTGACCCCCACCCAGTACAGAGGCACACATCCAGGTCACGACTGGTAAACTGATTTTACAGTAATGCCCCAGGCACAAGGAAATTTTTAGATATTTGCTGGTTTTCACTGACACCTCTGGCTGGATGGAGACATTCCCAACCCAAACCAAGACTACCTCGGAGATCTCTAAGGCCCTGCTCAAAAAAATAATCCATCAGTTTGGGCTCCCTAAATCCATTCAAAGCGACAGTGGGCCCGCCTTTGTTTCTCAGATTACTAAGGAAGTCTCTAGAGCCCTAGGAATTAAATGGAGCTTACACTCTTCTTGGAGACCACAATCTTTAGGAAAAGTAAAAAGAACAAATGAAACTCTCAAAAGAAATTTAGCCAAACTATGTCAAGAGACTCATCAACCTTGGATCTCCCTTCACCCCACAGCACTTTGGAGAATGCAATTAGCCCCTAAATGAAAGCTCAGGTTAAGTCCATAAGAGATCATGTACAGGAGGCCCATTCCTGAAGGACCTGGCTACAAAGCCAACATTAGGGATATGGACCAAATGAAATATGCCTTACAGAGAGGGGAAATCATCAAAGCTTTACACGCCTAAGGGGATCAGGAATTGCCTTCCCCTTCTGCCATGGTTTTACAGTCTTTGTACCCTGGGGATTGGGTTTATTTGAAAATCTGGAAGGCTGGAAATCCACAAGACCAGTTAGACCCCAAGTGGACAGGACCTTATCTTCTTATCTTGACCACTCATTCAGCCTGACAATTGCAGGGCATAACTCCATGGGCCCACCATATCAGAGTGAAGACGGCACCTACACCTGAGGAAGAAGTTACTGAGCCATGCACTCAATACACCTGTGAACCTGTCACACACCTTAAGTTACTTTTGAAAAGGACTAACTTACCAATAGATAAGTAATGTGGTGGGCAGGCTTATTAGTTGGCCTCATCATTACTATTGCCTTGCTTGGCTTCTGCTGTTCTGCCAAACCCCCTCCCTCTGGCAAACGCCTCCTCTGAACATGCTGGACATATGGGATACTAACATTGGAAGCAGGATGAGTGGCCATTATTGTCTATTGTTTCTTCTCTGCTCTATCTATCTCTTACAACCGTCCACACAGAATGGGAATTCAATGCAATAGTAAATTTCTCGAGAATTATAGCCTGTGGAGAAAATCTATCCCAGTGCTGGATCTGTCACCCCCACTCTCCAAGTGACACCTATGGATTAAAGGTATTACATTTTACCTCTAAGAATGATAACCTCACTCTCACCTTGGCTAAACCTACCCCTCTTGAAGTTCATATCCCATCCCTAACACAGCTTCCCTGCTTGGATTCCCTCTAACGAACACAAAGCACTCACTCCAAAGTGCCATTGCTCTGATCGTCTTGCTGCCACTGCCCTATTAAACGCCCCTACCAAAGGGAGGAACTTGCAATAACACCTTAGGGCTGCTCTGGACTCTGATCAATGTTTCTTCCATTATCCCACAATTTAAGTACCCCGGGATTGACTCCTGTGGAAATCTCACCTGTTGGTGCCCTCTGAACCAACCTGATGAATACACACAGGGACCAGAAGGGAGATGTACTTATTGGAGAGGGAAAATGCCAGTTGTCTGGCATTTAGTATATGGCCCTCCTAAGGCCTATGGAAAAGCCACTAGTGAAGAATCCCTCAGTAACCCCTGCTATGCAGGTGGGCCTTTCTCCCCACACTGCAAGGGCACCCCTTCTTGGGCTAGCCACTTATGGAGGTGGTTCAACTCCCCAGAACGTAAGCTCCCGCTGGGTACCTGTTCCTTTGTGGCCCAAGAATAAACCAACTGCCCCATCAGACCAACCCCAACTCCTCCTTCCCTTCTCTGGGGTGGGCTCTAGCCCTTCCTTGTTTAGATAATGCCCAGCTGGGGGAACATTGCATGCTAGACCAGCTAAATTCTCAGAACCTACGCATAACCATTCATAATATCACCCTGCCCTGAGATAAAAGAGCAATAGGACTCATTCTGGCAGGAATAGGGACTGCTCCAGACTAGCAACTCCCTGGGGAGGCTTCGCATACCATGAAATCACTCTACAAAATCTCACCCAGGCCTAATTGCTATTATCCTCCTGCTTATCTTTGGGCCTTGCCTCCTTAACTGCCTTGTCAACTTCCTTAGTAAACAGCTTGAAGCCATCAAACTTTAGATGATACTAACACAAGGGTACAAGCAACTGGGACTGCAGCTTGGCGAAAATCAGACTTATTTTAGCCTAGTCAGGAACAGTTCTGCTCCTCTAATCCAGGCAAAAATTATGCTCATGTTCAGCAGGAAGCAGTTCAGAAGTCAGACCTTTGCCCTTCAACGCCCCTCAAGAATGAGGAGCAATAACAAGGAAAGGGGGATTTTATTGCCAGAGCTGCTCCAGGTCTTTGCTCAAAACCCGCCAACCCCCACCTTTAGCAGGAGTTAACATAAATCTTTAAGTTAAAGGATCCAGAGATAAGAAAGAAAGCTACAAACAAACAAACAAAAACAGGTGGTACTAGCTGGGACCAAGATGGCCAGGAACCTGACCTCCAACAGACCCTGAGTCTCATTATATGTTGATTTTACTAAACTAGCTTAATATGCTTAATAAGACACACCTACTGGTGTCCAGGACCAGCGATTAAGGACCATAAAAAGGATAAAAAGGGGGTGGCACCTCACTCCCTCAAAAAAGCCCTGCCCCTTCCCAGGCAGACTAACGCATATGCCTCCCCATCATCAGCCTCACTCTGCCTCCCTTTGTCTTTATCTTTAAAATTAAATCTCTCTCACCAGGTAGGTGAGAAGTTGATCTGTGAACTTAGTTCCCACTTCGCCATTCTTTGGCCACTGAATAAAGCTCGAACCCAAAGGGAAAAAGAACACTCAGAGGCCAGACTAGGACCTGAGCAGGGTTCATAGGACTTAATTTGGTACCAATTTGTTCATTCATTCTTTTCAGGGAGGAGTAACTATCTCCTAGGGGGTCAGAGTCTGGAGAAAAAAAGGTAAATTAATCTTCATCTGGGCTAAACCAGAAGTTAATTCACAACTTTGCCAGCAATAAAAAAAAAAAAAAAATCCATAAAATGTTAGTGGCTCTCAACTTCTCCATCCTACCGCTTCTCCTCTGCCAGCCACCAGGCCGGTGAGTGGGAGGGGGACTCGGAACCAGGCCTGGGCGTGAGTGAGCAATGGGCCAGTGTGCAGGGTGACTGGGCTGTTCCCCGCCGCCAAGCACCCAGCTGGATGGCACAGGATGGTACATCCCAGGAGAAAGGCTGGTCAGAGGCCACTTCAGCCCTTCCTCCTCCCCTACGTGCCCAGGAACAAAACGCACCTGCCTGCGTCTCGGGAAAAGGCCACCTCCACGCCCTCGACCACCGCCGCGCGCCTGCTGACGGCCCTCATGCTGACTCCCGAAGCGATCACTTCCGGGCCATCTGGAAGGCACACGCCACGCTCAGGGTGGAAGCCTCGGATGTTGGCGTCCCTGTAGCCCCAGTTCTTGCCGCACTGTTCCAGAAAGATGGCCTTGGCGGTGGGGTCCATGCCCACATGCACAACGAGCTGTGTGAACACACGTGGCGGCAGGAGATTAGGGAAACTGAGGTCTGCTCTGCCCCCCAGACCACACAGAGGGAGAGCTCTGGGGTGCAAGACACCTCAACATCCCAAATGTGCCAGCATCACCCCCATCCCCTGCCTGCTTCCCCTGATGAATGTGCTGGAATGAAAAACAGCTGGATAGAAACCCATGTGGCATCTTTTATATTTTAAAATATTCTTACAGGGTAGTGTATTCCCTTTTTCCCTGGGGGATCCAGCTGGTATCTAAGCGTGTCCCAGGAGAAGTTTAGCCTTTCTGTGGAGGCTTCCATCTCTTTTATGAAACTCTTTAATAAAGGAAGTTAGTAACAGTCTAATAAAATATTGTTAGAATTTTTTGAGCTGATTATTTTTCCTCTTTGAAAAAATAGCTGATTGTTTTATCAAAATATTTGGGGTGTTGTCTTAATGGTTTGGTGGTCTGTGTTTTATTAATATTATCTGGTCATCGTGTTTGGGGGATATTTGTACCAGCTTCCTATATAGTAACTCTGTTGTGGTAAGATAGGCTGGGAGTGATGAAGATGGGCCTCCCCAGGTGGGCCACTCTCCCGTCTCCCAGTGGGGGCTGCCCTCAAACTGCTCTCCTAGGTCCAAGAGGTCCTTGCCTCTCAGCCCACCTCACAACCCACCTGCCCTGCAAGGGCCTGGCTGGGAGCTAACCCAAGGGCCTCTCTGTTAGGTGGAAACTACCTTTGGGTCTGGGCTGGGTATAAAGCTTCCATTTCTTTTCCTCCTTCTTTCTCTCCAGAGTCTTATTCCAAGATCTACTCTGTCTTTCATCTTAAACTTTTACAAATAGACCCTTATGAAATCATCTGGGCCCTTACTGGTGGGATGAGGGGGCAGGGTACACTTCAGCCATTAACCCTAGAAACAGCGTCCTGGGGTTCACAGGTTCTGGGTCTCCACCACATAATCAGCCCTCTGTCCCCCAGCCCAGCTGCCTCCCCAGCTGTCATTTACTTGTGGTTGAAGATCCTCCCAGATTCTGGTGACCCTCTGCTTCACCTCTCTGTAATCCACTGGCAGTTGAAGAATCCGCAACTCCACCTCCATGTCACGCCCCAGACCCAGCTTGGAGAGTTCCTGCAGAAAGAAACAGGTGGACTCACCTTTCCTTATGGAGGGCCAAGGGGAGTTCCTGAAAAGCCAACATCGGGGTCATCCAGTCCATTCTCAGGGCCTTCTGTGGGCCTGGACCCTGCCCTCAAGGAGTGGCAAGGGGCCAACAGGGGGGCCATGGTTCCTGCCCTACACACAAGGCCCCACAGAGCTGCTTCTGTCAAGGTGCACGTACCCCAGAGGCATGCCTGACCCAGTCTGCAGGTTAGGAAGTAGTTCACAGAGGGGATGCAGAGGAGTTCTAGGGGACAGATGGGGGTGAGTTGGATGAAGAAGCTGGAGAAGAGTGTGCCGGGCAGAGGGAGCTGCAGAGGCACAGGGAGCTTAGAACAGGAACTTATCATCTCACAGTCTTGCAGGACAGAAGTCCAAAATCAAGGTGTCAGCAGGGTCATCCTCCCTCTGTACCTGGTAGGAGAAGGATCCTACCTTGCCTCTTCCAGCTTCTGGTAGCCCCCAATAGTCCTTGGCTTGTGGCAGCATAACTGCAGTCTTCACATCACCTCCCGTTTGTGCATGCTTGTTTTTGTGTCCAGATTCCCCGCTTTATAAGAACACTTCACCCATTACACTCTATAAGGCGGTGCTTTCCAGAAGGTTGATGGCATTACTCTTGCCAAAGTAGAAAGTGCAAGGAAGCCAAACTGTAGTTCTCTGTGGCCTTTATAGAGCTATAGGTGTGGAATGGAGTGCATTTGACATTGGACTTGACACCTCTGTGTATTTTACTTATCTGAAAGACAATGCCCAGGAGACTGAAAGGCCCTGCTTCGGCTTATCAGCTGTTTCCTTTCAAGCCTCTAATCTGATGCTCAAACAGCCTTGACTAGTGGTTGGCATTAGAATCCCTCCACTGTTGGGTTCTAGTGGAACTCCTGGTCTAGGGCTGCACTCCACAACCAGCCACCTTGACATTTCAGTGCAGGAAATAGGAATAGGCACTCTAGGTGGAATAAATACAGATGTCACACATTGCCTCACATCAGCTCAGGTCATGTTTTGCCATCAAATAGATTAAGGAAAACTTTTAATATTTAGAAATCTTTGGATGTCAGAATTGCAGATAAGGGATTGTGGACCAGTATAAACTTGAACTTGTTCAAGTATTACCATGGAATTATTCTCCAGTATCTTCCTGGCATATTTTCTCTCCCTAACTAGAATGTCTCCCTCTTCCTCTTTCCCTCCCAGTTGTCCCTACAGGGAGAGCTGGCAGCTAGGGAGATCTGCCCTGTCACCAGCTCTAGGGACTCTGCTAAGGGGCAGTCAGCCTCCCCTGGAAAGAGGTGACCACTGTCGCCCACACTGTGGGGCTGGAAGTCCTGGGGCCTGCTGATTCCCCTGGAGTACTTTGAGCAAGGGGAGGAACAATTGGAGCCAATAGACATCCGCCACTGAGGACAGAAGGCAGACAGGAGGGTAACTGCACCTCCACTGGCTACAGGTCTCCCAGGGCCTTGGCCAAGCTGCCTGGATGGCTACGGGAAGTCTGCAGCCATCCTGAGGTCACCAGTATGTGTGGTAAGCTGTACTGGTGTTGGGAGGGGGAGCTATGGACTGAAAATATGCCTTCCCCCCTCCAAATTCATATGTTGAAACCCTAACCCCCAATGTGATGGTGTTTGGAGATGAAGTCTTTGGGAGGTAATTAGGTTTAGATGAGGTCACGAGGGTGAGGCCCCCATGATGAGATTAGGGCCATTATAAGAAGAGGAAGAGAGACCAGAGCCTTTCTATCTCTGCAATGTGAGGGAGGACATAACCAGAAGGCAGTCATCTGCAAGCCAGAAAGAAAGTTCTCACCAGGAACCAAATCTGCGGGCACCTTGATCTTGGACTTCCCAGCCTCCAGAACTGTGAGAAATACATGTGTGTTGTTTAAGCCACTCAGCCTATGGTATTTTGTTATAGCAGCCCAACCTGACTAATACAGGTGAGCTTCCAGTTGGTAATGAGATTTGGCCTGGTTGAGTTTCAGATACATGCCAGTTCATCCATCCAACTCATTATAACTCTTGAAAGTGACACAGCCAACGTGGGACTGAAGTCAGAATCTGATTTGGGATATTGAGGAACTCCTTCCAACCTGCAATCGTGGAAAGAGTCTCCAGGCACTGACTTATGTGGACATTCTGCTCCCTCAAGCATGTGTTCTCCCGCTCTCTCTCTCTCTCTCTCTCTCTCTGTCTGTCTCACAGACACACACTTGGTGTCCTGGGCCATCTACACTGTGACCCATGGCAGACAATAGCATTTTACAAAAAATAGGCCAAGCTGGTGGTCATCAGCAGCCTAAGCCTGGAATGAGGAGGGAACAGGGCAGAAGGGTGCACATGCAAAGCGAGACCCCAACTATAGTGATGCAGGGAAAGGCATGGGCTTTGGAGTCAGAAAGACAAAGGTTTGAGATCTGGCTCTGCCACCTTTCACTGGGCAAACTTGGGCATGTTATTTAGGCTTGGTGCATCTCAGTTTTCTCATCTGTGAAATGGACATAATGAAAAGCCAGAGGGATTTTCACAAATGTTAAATGATTCACAAAAAGTGCCCAGCACAGCATCTGGCACAATCGGAACTTTATATGAGGGATTGATGGTTATAATTAATCCATATTAATTTGAGAAAGTCGTTTAAGAGGGATTTATTGAAAGTGATATTTATTAGAATTTGATGAGCTTGGGCCTGTCAGAAGCAGTGAATAGAACATTCTGCAAAAGCAGTCGGCAGGCCACTGGCTGCCACCACCCTTTCTGCCAAGGAGGGTTGGTTGTTTTAGCAAAGAGAGTATCCGTTCTGTGCAGACCAGAGAGAGCCAGGGGTTTGTGCTTTCCAGACTGGCACACTTTCTCAGCTAGAACTGCAGAGTGTTTTGTGCTCAAGGGGGCAGGGACAAAGCCTGGTATAACCGTTACCAAAGTGGAATCCAGGGTACTGTTCTAGCCACAGGAACCACCAGGCTCTGCAGGGAACTGAGTACCCATGCCAGGCCCATAATCCCGCAAAAAGCCTGAACCCCACCAGTCACAAAGGTCCTCAGGAATCAGAGAGTCCCACCTTCTGCCTTTCTCCCACTTCTTCTTGCCTCCATGTCATCCGAGATCTGGTCACCAGGAACACATGGCAGTTTAACAAAGGGAACCGAAAGAAGGAGAAAAGACACCAGTTGCTCTCGGAATTTTTTTAAAAATCCACCGAGACTGTGGCACCAACTGGTGTTCCAAAGCGGTTGCTGTTTTTCCAAAATCTAATTCTTCCCTTATCAAATGAGAGTCTGGGGCTAGTACCAGGAAACAGGAAAGCATTTCTTCACTCAGGCATTCAAGAAAAACTCCCCAAGTGCTTGCAATGCAGTCCTCTGCTAGGGCTTGGCGTGTCCTGGAGGGTCACGTTCTCAGAGGAGACGCAGACCAGGAACGGGACGTGATCACAAGAGTCCTGGTTCCGGTTCCAAGGGCTGTGTTTGGCCGCCCCCAGCTGCGGAAGCCTGAGGGTGAGGACCCCTGACTAGGGCATTAGGAAGGAGCCCAGACCCCGCTTTTTCCTCTCCCTACTGCGTGGGTTTGGGCAAATTATTAAAACTTGCTGAGCCTCAGTTTCTTGATCTGCAAAACATAGTAATAACAGGACCTCCCTCTCAAGGGTTGCTGTGAAGGTCAAGCAAGGCTGTGCACATGGAGTTGCAGCCTAAGAGGGCTGCACAGAGGGGGCTTTGACTGGCACTTGGAGGATTAAAAGAGTGTTCCAGGGAAAGGAATAGTGGGAGCTTGGAGGTATGTGCAAACACCCTCCCTCCCTCCCTTCCTTCCTTCCTTCTGCCCTTCCTCCCTCCCTCTCTCCCTCCTTCCCTCTTCCTTCCATTCTTCTCTCGTTCACTTATCCATCAGTCATCGGACTAGGCACTCCTGCGTGCAGCCTCTGTAATAGGCTCTGGCTAAGGGTCTAGGAGTGCCTGTGTGTGCATGTCCGGGGGCTGACCTTGGAAGAGGAAATGACAGCTACTTCTTCTTGACTTGCAGGGCTGGAAGGGACCTGGGAACCATCGGGTGCTGAGACCCAGGCCTGGGCTCCCTCCGACCCCATCAGGCTGGAGGCGCTCCGGGGAGAGAGAAACTAAGGCCAGAGCTGGGGAGGGGCTCACCAGGCACAGGAAGAAGCCTATAGAGGTGACAGGAGGCCTAGCATACTAAGTATAGGACAGCCACCAGTGGAGCATAATGTAGCCATTCGAAATGATTTTACAAAGAATTTATTGACATAGGAAAACCCATGAAAAGAAGTAAGTTTAAAAATCAGGATCTCAGACTGTTTCCTGCAGCCATTTATGGAAATGGAAACATACTGAAAATGGTCATCCCTTAAGGGGAGAATTAGGGGAGATTCCTATTTCTTTCCATACTCGGCATAACATTTTCACAATGGAATATTTTTGTATGTAATATTTTTCTGGCTCTGAAAGCATAACAAAGAGTCCAGTAATCAGACTAGCTGCCCCTGGAGCATCCTCGCTGTGTGCAGGCACTATGCCCAGCACCTCACCCCAGCCCCCCGATGATGTCACCATTTTACAGATGACAAAACCGAGGATAAGTTTAAAAGAAGGGAGGAGTTCCAGGGAGTAGTCACAAAGGAGATGTTACCACAACATTGGGGTCAACTGTTTAAGGCTTGGGAGAGTTCCCAGGTCACTCTCCTTTCCTTAACAAAGCCAAGTTCTGTTCTCTATATGTGATGACTGTCCCAGCCTGCGCCCAATATCTTTTGGTCATTCCTCCAAACTAGTGGGTCTCTTGCCTGAAAAATCCAGTATGAAAAACAGTGACCCCGTAATTCCTAATCCTCTAACAAGAGCAGTTGTCTCCAAGTATTTCTGATTGTATGCCCCTATTGATAAAAGATTTTAGTGTGCACACATGCATGTGGGCATGCACGTGCACACACACACACACACACACACACGATCATTAGCTGATGTCTTCATGTCTTAAGGCATGATACACACTGCATGTGGGCTTCACTGTTAATAAGTCGATGTATATATTTTCAGTGGTTTTCTTAATTCTTCCCCTTTTTTGGCCAATTTCTTATTAGATTGTTCTTGTTTTTACATCAAAATGTGTCTGGGAGAGAACTCAGATGAGGTTAGGAAAAGGGTCACTTGGCTGTTTTCACATGTTTGTTCAGGTTTGCATCAGGTTATATCTGTGGGGTTTTTGAAGATCATTTTTGTAAGGATTCCTTGATCATAATTTGAGGCTTAGTTTAATTAAAACTGGATAATATGATTCTGAAACCCATTAACTGGGCTGAAATACTCTGTAATAAAATAAAAATTATTCAAAGATGGAGGGCCTATCACCATGGTGTCCCTTGCTCCAAGGGTGACACGTTCCCTCTTCCCTCAGGAAACCAAGCCTGTCCAAGGACCTGCAGATGTACAAAGCCAGGTCAGCTTTGGTCCAGCTATGAAATTTAGTTTTATAGACTAAAAACATAGAGATTCACACCCATTAGGATGGCCACTATGAAAAAAAAAAAAAGATAGTAAGTGTTGGCAAAGATATGGAGAAACTGCAACCCTTGTGCACTGTTGGTGGGAATGTAAAATGGTGCAGCTGCTATGGAAAACAGTATGGGCACTCCTCAAAATATTAAAAATAGAATCATCATGTGATCTAGCAATCCTATGTCTGGGTACATATCCAAAAGAATTGAAAGCAAGAGCTCAAAGAGATATTTGCACATTCATGTTCATTGCAACATTATTCACAATAGCCAAGAGATGGAAGCAACCCAAATGTCCACTGATGGATGAATAAACAAAATGTGATCTATACAATCAATGAAATATTATTCAGCCTTAAAAGGAAGAAAATTCTGGCACATGCTACAATATAGATGAGCCTGGAAAACATTCTGTGCTAAGTGAAATAAGCCAGTCACAAAAAGACAAATACTGTATGATTCCACCTATATGATGGATCTAAAGTGGTCAAATTCATAGAGACAGAAAGTAGAATAATAGTCATCAGGGGTTTGGGGGAGGGGGAAATGGGGAGTTGTTGTTCAACAGATACAGAGTTTTAGTTTTGCAAGCTAAAAAGTTCTGAATATCTGCTGCACAACAACGTGAATATACTTAACACTACAGAAATGTACACCTAAAAATGGTTGAGATGGTAAATTTTATGTGATTTTAATCACAATTTTCTTTTAAAACCATAGAAATGGAAATCCTGATATTTTCATCCTGTCTTCCAATGGATCAACTTGCAAACCCCATTTTGGAAATGATTTTGGATCCTCAAGAAGGTGCTGATGTAGGAAGTATTGGAGGACAAGGGGTGGGTGGGCCGGCACACCTCTCACCTCTGCTTAGGAGGTTGGGCAGGAAAGGGTTAACCCAGGAGTCTGTGGCTGCTCAAACTCTGCACATTTCCAAGAAACACCTGTCTTCAGGACTGGCCCTTGGCTGGCTCCTGGGAGAAAGAGCTTTGAGCCCTTGGGATGTTCTGCTTGATTAGAACAGTTTTGTATGCCTGTGGCCTTGGGTCACATTGTGCTAGTTTGATTAGAGTTTATGCCAACAGTGTGATTTATGGTGGATACCTGTTTTGCTCTGGAGTCTGAGTAGCTGAGGGCAGGCAGGCAGGCACTGCATACCTAAGTGACTGACCCCAATAAAAACCTTGGACACCAAAGCTCAGATGAGCTTCCCAGGTTGACAACACTTCACACCTGCTGTCACATGGCATTGCTGGGAGAGTTACATGTATCCATGCAACTCCACTGGAAGAGGACACTTGGAAGCTTGTACCTGGTCTCTCCTGGTCTTTGCTCCATGCACCTTTCCCTTTCGTGATTTCAATATGGATCCTTTTGCTGCAGTACACTGCAACCGTGAGTATAACAGCTTTTCTGAGTCCTGATTCAGGTGAATCTTGAAGCCTGAGGGGGGTCTTGGAAACCCCCTGACACAGAGGTATCTCAATGGCTCTTGAATCCTGGCCTCTCCTTAAGAATCATTTCTTCTTTATTTTCTCCTACTAGCTTTTTTTCCAAGCAGAAAAGAAGGCAATTTTCTCTATTTTCATTCATTCATTCATTCATTCATTCATTTTTTTCCAACATTGTTCAAGTCCTTCCTTTGTCCAAGCACTGTGCTGCCCTGTTCCTACCATGGGTGGGAAATGCCTGTGGAAAGTAAACGTCCTCAGAGCAGGCAGAGGGCAGGCAGGAGAGATGGTACTACTAGGGTCAACTTGGAGGTCACAACTCATTGTAGGAGTCAGGAGAGCAGGCTTGGAGTCTAGTGGGTGCAGTTCAATTCCAGATTTGCCCCTTGGGCACCACCTCAGGCATTTGACTTTGGGAAAATGACTTAGACTTTTAAGAGCTTTGATGTCTCATCTGTAAAACTGAGAGCCCTTGCAGTGGCTCTCCATGGGGATACTGTCCCCACAGAGGGTGTCTGAACATATGTGGAGTGCTCTTAGTGTTTAAGGGAAAGCTACTGACAGTGCCTCAGAGGCTGAGATGCTAAATATCCTTCAATGCACATCTCACTTTATCCCACACTCAACACACAATAGTCTCAGAATAACAATACTAACTCCACTTTTAACAATATGATAACTGAAAAGTTTGAGATATTTTTGTTTTCTATTTGGTTTTCTGTCCTTAAAGTAAATTGCTGGGTTTCAAAACTACTCATCATAGTTCCTCTCTGTGTGATTGTGTCACTAACTGGACACACTGTTAGGCTCATTAACTCAATTTACACGTAATTTCTATGGATTCCTTTTTAAAAATTTTAACGTTGCTTTATTAGTATGTAAAATATGCTACATGGTTCCACAGTTAAATCTACAGAACAAGCTTTATTCAAAGAAGTCTAGTTCCTTTGTTTTTCCCCTCCATAAGAAACTATTTTTTAGCTGTATGATTTATCCTTCATTTTTAATTTCCATAAACAAATATGTGACATATATTTAGGCACCCCTCCCTTCTTATATACACTTTCCCCATCTTTGTGCATCTGTCTTTCCTTATTATTGCCAGTATATCTTTGGGGGAGCTTCTAGAAATTTTCTGGATTGCTGGAGCAACACATATATTATCTTGCTGGGATTGCCAAATTCCTCTCCATTGGGGCTGTACCACATTGCACACCCTCCAGCAAAGTATGACAGTGCCCATCAGCCTCACAGCCTTGCACACTAGTTGTCAAACTTTTGGACTTTTGCCAATCTGATCTTAGCATGGCTTTAATTTGCTTTCCTCTTATGAGCAAGTTTGGGCATATTTTCACATGGGTAAGAGTCATTTGCATTCCTTTCTCTATAAAGTGACTCTCTGTATCTTAGGCATACTTTTCTTTAGGCTCAGTCACCTTTTTTTTTTTTTCATTTATAGAAGCTCTTTATATATCAGGGATACTGCCTTTCAGCTTAGAAGTTTATCAGCTGTATTTGCCCTGAGAGGACTGGACAGGACTGAGTGGGGAAGAGAAAAGACAGAAAGGAATCACCCGCCTAGCTATGGAATAACAATAGGGAGTCTGCCATGTCCAGAGACCTGGCTAGAAAGGAAGGTAGGTAGAGATTGCCACTGGAGTTTGCTTTTCAGAGGGACACGGTTGGATGTTATTCATCTCTGAATTGATCTCCAGTGGTTTTTGTCCCAAGGATAACACT